TACGATTTGTGACCAAGCGATGCGTAGCAGACTATGGTAAAATATTATTTTAACAAAAAACAAAATTTATATTCGTTTTTCTCACCTCTCAAAACCCCTAGATACAAATTTTTGTGAAAATGAAAAAAAAATTGCTCGCCATCAAATCTTAGATATTTTTTCGAAAATTGATGATAACTTTGAAATGATTCCCCGGAATCACGGGATACTTTACAAGGATTTAAAAATCTATAAACTATACTTAACAGCATAAACGAGGTTTCCATAAATAATTCCATAAAATCCCACATATTTTTTCCCACTTATATTCACACAAATCTCCATAAAATGTCTTGATCTAGGTTGAAAGAAAAGAAGCATTTTTCTTGTAATGAATGTTCAACGACTGTTGAATTTACATTAAATTAGGAAAAATTATGATTTTTTAAGTCTGGAACATCCGACGTCATAGGAAAAATTTTCCACGCCTGATTCAGCATAAAAATGTATATTTTTTTAAATCACAAAAACCGATCATCGGGTTACGCGAAAAATGACCAAATTTGGAAAAGCATATTTTCTGAGCCTTTTAAATCACAGACTGAGCTAGGTCTCATTTTTAGAAAATTTTACGCTGAACAACAAGACTTTTTGAAATGTTTTCCTAGCTTCCTTCATTCATCAGTAAATTCAAAAATTCGGGAACATCTTAATTTCTGATATTTTTACGAAAGCCTCGAATTTAGCTGAGGAGCCAGGGGAATTATATCGAGGAAAAAAGATAATACTTTTGAGGAATTTTTCTTTATTTCATCATTATTTTTCTCACCTATAATCCCATAAAATCCAAACTCTCTTGATATTGGTTGATAAAAGAAAACGTAACTTACCATAAATTGTAAATCAGTTGAATTTACACGAAATCCAGACGTGTTTTGAATTTTTAAGTTCGGAAACTTGACAACGAAGAAAAAAGCCTTGGCTGATCGAGCCAAAAAAAAATCTGTATACTTCGTTTTACTTATTAAATCCATTCTATTTCGTGGTCCGATTGACCAAATAACCTCTTTCAATTAATTAATCTTTATGTAAGGTATTGGTTGAAATAAAGTTGAAAGATAAGCAAAATAAAGTAGTTGAGATGGGAAGTTGGTGTCCGAGTGAATGGAAGTCACGATAGCTCAAGTGGTTGAAGCAGCGGCAAATTGAGCCGAAGGTCCTGGGTTCGAATCCCGCTCGTGACACTGGCTTTTTTATTTCAACCTATACCTTACATAAATGTGTGGTGTTTAGCGAACGCTACTTGATGATTATTTGAAGATCGTGAGATGCGGTCTGGTGTGACGAAAGTTTTAGAAAAACATTTTCTTTATCGCGCCAACGTTTCGATCTTTATTGAGATCATCTTCAGGGCTTAAAGTGTTTTTTTTCTGCGTAATTGTGTCATTCTTTGTCTTCTTGTGTGTCGTGTTGAGAGTGCCACAAAAGAGTTGTTGGGCACTCTCAACACGACACACAAGAAGACAAAGAATGACACAATTACGCAGAAAAAAAAACACTTTAAGCCCTGAAGATGATCTCAATAAAGATCGAAACGTTAGCACGATAAAAAAAATGTTTTTCTAAAACCTACATCACACCTGACCGCAGCTCACGACACCTTACAAAAAGATTAATTATTAAAAAAAATTTAAATAACAAGTTAAATAAGATTTGAATTCATTTGAACGAAATGTGAAGTTTATCGAGGGAAAACGTGCCTATTTAATAGGCCAAATAATTAGTAGTTAAAAATAAGCCGGATTATCCGAGCTTGAATTATTCGATCTAATCCACTGCACACATGTTGTAACGTCATGAAGTCGAATTATTTATTGGAGAAACTAATTTTGCTTGCAATTCTTCAAATGTATTCTTGTGATTGTTGACCTCGCCATAGGAACAGGCTCGGAGAAATTCAAAATATTGCAAGTTGAAGAGGAGGTGATAAAGTATACTGTGCCAGAAAAAATTAAAGGATTTTAAGTTGGACTACATTTCTCTGTTCTTTTTGATTTATTCTTCCTAACCTAGGTAAAACACAACAAATATAGAATCCTACATCGCAGAATGGATCCAAACAAAACAAAATGAGAATTGGATAAACTGTAGCAGAGCTAGACGTAAACTTAGGATGAAACAACCCTCACCCTGCAAAAGCATTGTTGCAACTGGAGAAGGCTAACCTCAGAGAAGTGATATAACTACTAACGGGTCACTGGCATCTGAGAAAACTACACAACATAGGCATATACAACGAAGAACCCATCTGCAGATTATGTAATGAGGAGGAAGAACTAAGAAACTACACCTCAATGGAGATTTAACCTAACGTACGGAAAAAACATAGGAAATCAAATTTCAGCAGCGACAGTCAATGACCTGTTACTTCTAAGGAGAAGGATTGATTCTATTGCACTGAACTAAGAAACTAGGAAGGTACAATAAGACAAGGCAAAGTACAAACCCCGCTTCCTAGTATCCTTATTACCATACCGTACCATACCAATCCTGTCTTTGCAGTTTGTTTCCTACTGGGAAAACATCTACACAACATCGAACTATACAACGATGATCCCATTTGCAGATTATGTAATGAGGAGGAGGAAATCATCTTTGAATGCGAAGCAACAGCTCAATGGAGATTTAACCTAATGTTCGGAAAAAACTTAGCCAATCAAATTGCAGCAGCGACAGTCAATGACGTGATACTTCTAAGGAGACATTGCAATGAACTAAGGAAGTAGGAAGGTACAATAGGCCAAAAGGCTTCCTAGTATCCTTTTTTACCATACGATACCATACCATACCCAGGATGTAGTTGATTACGTCTCCTCTAGCCACAATCGCTCATATCTAGATTGTCCCATTTTTACACGGATTTTTAATGAAGCTTGACCAGAAAATATACTTTTTGTGACATTTAGCTCCTTTCATTTGAATTTCTCGTCTTCTCATTGAGTTGATTTAGCGTATTTTCGCTATCCTATGATGGATTCCTGGTACTTGTTGTGTTCCCTGATAAATCGATAATACTTTATCTAATTTCTCACATTTTCCATAAAAAAATTGGAGTATGTTTGTCGTTTCGAGAGACCATTTTTTGATTTAGGTTTCTACTCCCTTGCTGCTTGAAATTTCCTCTTCTCTTGGGACCCATCTCAGCTAGATAGAGCCTAGTGTTTTAGGGCATTTAGGCAGTTTCTCCAAAACTTGGAAAACTCAATAACCTGATGATAACTTGGGTGCCAGGGCACAGGGGAATTTTGGGTAACGAGAAAGCAGACCGACTGGCCAGAGGAAGATTTGCAAGACCTTACATAGGGCTATACTTGGGATAACAAAAACAAATATGGGGGACCGCGGTAGCCGAGTGGTTAGCATGAGAGACTCTCACGCCGCGGTCGGGGGTTCGATTCCCACCGTCGCCTCTGGCCCTTTTTCCCGATAACCCCCAATTTGAACACACAAGAATTCGTACTATGGCTAATATGCAAGATCAAGGCCAATAAAAAAAAAAAAAAAATAAACTCTAGCGGTGTTAGACATAGTAAACTAATGATGAAACAACCCTTACCAAGACTGGCAAACTCACTACTGCAATTGGAGAGGGCTCAACTCAGAAAAGTGATAGGACTACTAACTAGTCACAGGCATCTGATTATGCATCTACACAACATGACCATATACAACGATGATCCATTTGCTGATTATGTAATGAGGAGGAGGAAACAGCCACCGTATCATTTTCGAATGCGAACCTATACTTGGGATAACAAAAACAAATATGGGGGACCGCGGTAGCCGAGTGGTTAGCATGAGAGACTCTCACGCCGCGGTCGTGGGTTCGATTCCCACCGTCGCCTCTGGCCCTTTTTCCCGATAACCCCCAATTTGAACACACAAGAATTCGTACTATGGCTAATATGCAAGATCAAGGCCAATAAAAAAAAAACTCTAGCGGTGTTAGACATAGTAAACTAATGATGAAACAACCCTTACCAAGACTGGCAAACTCACTGCTGCAATTGGAGAGGGCTCAACTCAGAAAAGTGATAGGACTACTAACTAGTCACAGGCATCTGATTATGCATCTACACAACATGACCATATACAACGATGATCCATTTGCTGATTATGTAATGAGGAGGAGGAAACAGCCACCGTATCATTTTCGAATGCGAAGCAACAGCTAAATGGAGATTTAACCTAACATATGAAAAAAAACTCAGGGAATCAAATTGTAGCAGTCAATGAACTGATACTTTTAAGGAGAAGGATTGAGTCTATTGCATTGAACTAAGAAACTAGAAGGTCCAATAAGCCAAAAGGCTGCAGTCTGGGGAGCACAAACCCGCTTCCTAGTATACTTTTTTTACCATACCGTACCATACCAATCCTTGCAGTTTGTTTCCTACTGTCTCACTTATCGATCAGGTCTATGCTGGCATGGTATATAAACCAAAAGGCACAACTTACTATCCCATCCTAAATCCTCGTACTATCTCATCCTCCTCCTTATTGGCGACCTACACTTGGTCTTGGTACACACTTGTCCATCCTACCCAAGCAGGAGTCGCACAAGGTAGCGTCATATCATATCGTGTCATATCCTTTACTTAAAAGACTTCTTGAAATTTTTGTTTGGAGATTTACAAACAAAGTTGCCTCATATAATAATGATGATGAGAATAATAATATTGAGTGCATAGTTTAATTGACATTGGGTTTAAGGAGTTTCCAAGGCTGAACATGCAATGGATTTTCTTTAAGTTACAGAACAATTGGCTGAAATAAGTCATATTGATTGTTCGGGGTATAATTTCCTTTTTTTATCGTTAATGCCCTATAAAAACTCGTTCATTCCGTTTGGATAATAGAAGTTATTCCATTATCGACCTTCACGACTACCAAGCAATAATAATCTGACATGTATAAAAAAATTAGGTGGAAGAGATTTTTCTTCGGTTTGCTACACCAACCTGTTGCTCTTCTAGAGATGTAGTCGAAGTTTGCCGATCGACCATGTCCCATCTGAACTTTAAGGGATTACACACTCGGGCAGTATCGTCCTGTAAACATTGCTTGGTTTACATGCATTTCGGGGGAGGCATGCTTGACAAACAAAAAAAAATTTAAGACACTTACATTCTCCGGGTCGTTCCCGTTCTCTAAATGTTCAGTTTCAGCTGTATGTCCGTTCGATTTGACATGTTCCGAACCGTTGAACTGAAGCGAATCGTTCAAGCACCCACCATTTGCCGGCTGGGTGTTTTCTATCTATTATAGAAGGATTTTTAAAAAAAATTAAATTTAAACAAAATCCTTGGCTTTTCTTATCCTGCATACATTCCAATTGCTTATTGGATGATTCAAAATGGAAGAGTTATTGTCTTGTAAATCTGTTTTACAATACTGGATAAAAATACAATACTCTACAAGGAGAAAAAAAAACAGCAAAATAAAAAGACAATCACAGAGGTGCGTTAATGTCTATATAATTCAACGCTTCATTTTGAAAAGTTTTTCTATAGAAATTTAGGACTTGGGTTAATTTAGCTTCAAAATGTTTTAGAAAATTAGTACCTTCATATTTTTATAAATAGGAATGCTTTTCTTAGCATATTAAATTAAAACAAAAAAACATTTTGAAGCTACTGAATATAAATGTTTTTAAAATTCTCAGATATGTTTATTGTCAAAAATGAAATTACATAGTCTTATTTTTTTTTAATGTAGGGTAAAACATTCCTATATATAAAAAAATCAGTTATTCCATGCATGTGTTTGTTTTTTTGATCAATGAATCTTAAAAATATCAAACAGTTCAAAAACCAAACTTGGCAGCTCAAATCACAAGAGCTGTGAAATTAAACAAAACAATATAAATTAAATTTTTTTTACAATATGAAAGTTGAAACATGTTTTGTGTATTTATTCTCCATAATGTGTTTGTTTTACACAAATTGGTATAAAATTTATTTAAAACAATTTTTTTATGTGGACCTATAGAATAACAAGTGAAACTGACAATATAGTGATTTGTAAAATTAATTGCTTAATTTCTACATAAAAGCAGTGTTTTCCTCCAACATATCTTAATTTAGTTTAAAACAAATACACTCTAAGTTTTTATTTATACAATGGAAAAAAATTATTAGCCAATTTTATTAATGAAGTTTTCTTTTATAGCGATGTGATTTTTTTTATTTGCAATGCATTACAAAAATTTTTTCCAACAATATTAAACACTTCATTATTAACTGGAATTTTCATGTTAATAAAAACAGTAAAAAATATGTCATTTACAGTCTTTAGATAAATTGGGTAAGTTTTGTTAATTATCAACTTCTATCTTGTTACAAATCTAGAGAACACTTAAGACAGAAAAAAACTGTATGTAAAAATTTTAACATAGAGATATGCTTTGTATTTGAAAAGAAGAAATTGTTTAATAATAATTTTTAAAAAGTTGCAATCAGTATAAATCCTTTTGAGATATTGTCTTTGAGTTAAAAAGAAAGGTTTTGTCGTACATTGTTTATTCGAAAGAGAGTGATTGTGTCGTTGAAGAAGAAGAAACGGACGAGAATGATTGAGATACTGATTGCTTAACGACGGAAGATGTTACTCTTGTGGATGATACTTGACTCACCGACTCTGATAACACTTTGCTACTTTCTTCCATTTCGACGCTGGCAGCTTTCCCTACCACGTGCTTGTTTCCGATGTCCTTTTCAAACTGAAATAAGCCGAATTGTAAATTACTTTTATGAAAATAATTTTTAGTGTGGTATCACCTCTGAAACAGATGAGGACTTCGATGACATGGCCTCTTTGACGACATTGCCACCGCTTCCTTCATCGACCGAAGTCACTTCCATTGCTTTACGTCCTTTGTTTAATATAAAAACCTGTGAAAGAATAAAATATTTCAAATTTTCATTTTTACTTTATTTACAGTTTAAATAAAAAAAGGAGTGAAAACTCGCATTGAAATTGACCAGAAAATGAGTGTTAAAGTGAGCCATTGTTGTCTGCATTTTATGATGTCAAGGACGGGATTTATAATGCTGAGTATTTTTTTACATTTGTCATTGGGACGATTTTGTCTCGTCCTGGCAATTTTGATCTTTTTTGAATAATGAAAATTTTGAAAACACCAAGGATTTTCTTGATGAAGCATGAGTTAAAATGCACAAATATATTTGTGTCCTGTCCACAATGCGTCAATATTTAAGGAACTTATCCTACTGGTTAAAATGGACTAAAACGTTGTCAAAATTGTCCAAGATCCTTGACTAATTACATTTTTAAATAAAGTAATATTTATGACAGTTATTGGTTGAAATAAAAAAGTCAATGACAGGAGCGGGATTCGAACCCACCACCTTCGATCCGCTCGGACACGATAGCTCAAGTGGTAGAGTAGCGGCGTATTTAGCCGAAGGTCGTGGGTTCGAACCCCGCTCGTGTCATTGACTTTTTTATCTCAACCTTTCATAAATATTAATTAATTGTCCAACATGTAATTCTGAGTTGTATCCGAGATATTTCACATTTCATGTCACTTCAATCTTTCACAACTTTATTCTATAAAATCCCTTGTACAATAAATATTTTATCAAACTGAAAAATTAAATGATGAAATTGAATTGTGTATTCTTTGCAACCTAAGGCAAGCAAAATCAAAAATCACGAAAAAGACATACTTTTGCGAGTTGCTGAAATTCTTGTCTTAGATTTAAATAATAATTTCTTCGTTCTGTAAATCCTGATAGAAAAGGAAAAATAAAATTAATGTTTTATTGTTACAAATTTTATTTTTCGGTTACAAACGGTTTAAAAACTTAATCAATAAGTCATCACTAATTTTGACGATTCTGTAAAAAAAAAAAAACTAAACGTAAACGAAAAAACTCTTTTGTACAACCAAGCTGCAAAGCTTAAAAAAATCAAGTAAAAATCATTTACGTTTTAATGGTCAATTGAACAAGTTACATCGTTCAATTGATTATTTTTTTATACAAGGTCTTGGTTGAGATAAAAAAATCATTCGAACCCACGACGTTCGGCTAAATATACCGCTACTCTACCACTTGTCAGATAGCTCAAGAAAGTAACAAGTAATGTAACAAAATCATCTAATAATATTGTGAACTATCAATTAATTAAGGTTTTTATTTAAGATAAAAAAGTCAGTGTCACGAGCAGGATTCGAACCCACCCTCGGCTAGATACGCAGCTGCTCTACCGCTTGAGCTATTGTGACCTCGATCCACTCGGACACTAACTTCCCATCTAAAACCCCACGTTTTGAATTTTGAAAAATGGCAAAAAGGAGGGAAAATTCAAACGGTGGGGTTGAGATGGGAAGTTAGTGTCCGAGTGGATCAAGGTCACGATAGCTCAAGTGGTAGAGTAGGGGGGTATTAAGCCGAAGGTCGAAGGTTCGAATCCCGCTAGTGACACGAGCTTTTTATCTCAACCAAGACCTTATATGGAAAAAATAATTAATTAAGTAAACTGTTCACAATCTTTCAGGAAACGATGTCAAGCGAAGGTAAGTTCGAGTTCCAAGTACAAGAAGTATATGTTTTGAACATTTAATATATTCCCAAATATGTAATTATTTTTTTTAGCTAAGGTTTTTAGCTGCTAAGATAAAAATTAGTGCCACGAGCGGGATTCGAACCCACGACCTTCACCTTCACGGGGTTCGAATCTCTTTCGTGACACTAAATTTTCATCTCAGCCAAAAATTTTAGATAAAAAGAATATTTATTTGCAATAATTAATATGTTGTCAGTAATTAATTGTGACCACTAAGCAAGTAACGATTATTTTAATAATATTTTTTTCATATGTTCAATTTTGTACCAAAGAGTGTTTTTCTTAATTTGTACATTACTTGCATTATGCTTTTCAAATTTTAATGACTATTTTTAGGTGATAAATGATTACTGATCTTTGAAAAATTAAGTGTATAACTAGAAATAATTTATGACTTTTCTATAAGGGCTTTTCTGAAAAAAATTTTACATTATTAAATTCACTAATTTCGTAGTCAGTTTGACCAAATAATATAATAGAATTAATTAAGATAAATGGCAAAAAGGAGGGAAAATTCAAAAGGTGGGGTTGAGATGGGAAGTTAGTGACCGAGTGGATCGAGGTCACGATAGCTCAAGTGGTAGAGCAGCGGCGTATCAAGCCGAAGATCGTGGGTTCGAATCCCGTTTGTGCCATTGACTTTTTTATCTCAACTAAAAACCTTAATTAATTTTACATTATCTTAAACATTCGATGAGAAGTTAAGAAAATCGTCCAAGTTTACATTCTATGTGATTTTGTATATATTTTTCTCTTAGGGTTAAAATTATCAAAAATAAATGAGACATTTTATATGTTCTGTTCGTTGGTGTAATCAAATTGATATATGAGAATTTATGGAATAAATTTGTGAAATATTGAAGTAACCTGATATGTAGGAGATATCGTGAAGTATTGACGTTTGTTCAAGAGATATCGTGCATGCTTCAAATCATACCGGATATAGAAAGTACATAAGGTAAATGTTGTTTTTAAAGGGAAAATTTGAGTTCAACAACCCTAAGATCGTAAAACAATGGTTATACTCGAAACCGGATCCTTCATGTGCCAAGGCGAAGAAGGTTTGCCAAAAAGGCCATGTGTGTAAATTTCAGAAGAGTAAACTTTGTTTTAAAGAGGTTGGAAGATAAATAACGGTTTGAGCGAAAAATCCCGAGATTTATAAAAAGGGGAAAAAATGTTCTTCAGTACGTCAATTCAAACCACCAGTCACTAACGGACTGAAATTTCAGTCACCCCTTCATCCGCCCAGAACTCGCTGCCTAAGATTATTTCCCAAGTTCGACTTTCCTTAGAAAAAGTGAAAAAAGTGAAAAAGAATGAGCTGAGAAAAATTTTGCCTTTTATGAGTCGTCCTTGTAGAATAGAACGGCCTAGGTGTGGAGGAATTTTTGTTATAATAAAGTAATTAATATTTATGAAAGGTATTGGTTAAGATAAAAAAGTCAGTGTCACGAGCGGGATTTGAACCCACGACCTTCGGCTAAATACGCCGCTACTCTACCACTTGACCTATTGTGACTTCCATCCGCTCTGTCTTTCCTAGGTGAGGTTGAGGTGGGAAGTTAGTGTCCTTGTNAATTTTTTCTTAAGTTTGCTTAAACTGACATTAAATATATCTATATTTTTGAACGAGTTTAACAAACTTGTTTTTCTTGGTATAAAACTGAATTTAAATAGATTTTTTTTGGTAAATAGGTGGATATATTAAAAGATTAATGTTTTTTTTAACTTTTATGTTTTACAAAAAAAGCTTTACAACTTAAAGTTTTTCGCGTAAACAGAATAAAAATTCCTAGGGATTGGAGATGAATTTAAAAAAAAAAACAGTTTTGCTTTACAAATAAATATTTTTCTCAAATATGCACATGTTAAATGGTTGTCTAAGTCTTCTGTAAAGTCATTTTCTCTTTAGTCTTGCCTGGGGATTGTACGACAGTCTGTCCAGATAAAGTCCTAAGTATCTGACTTGAGTGGAAGTCATTACAGTAGAGATGGGGTACAGAAAAAAATTTCTGTAGTGGACTGTGGTTTGGAGGTTTGTGAACTTTAGGCTAGCAAGGATTCGAACCCAGGACCGCTACAATGGCAACTAGTATCAGAGCGCTCTGCCAACTCAGCCCCTACCTGACCATATTTTCAAAAATACCCAGAAAATATATGACAGGGAATAAAATTCAAAAAAATAGCTCAAATCATGTAAAATCGAGAAAATATTGATCACGGGACATTGCGGCTGAATGGTGGGGAGTACGACTCGTCTTATATGATTAGAGGTTCCGGGTTCGATTCCCGGCATAACCCGTGGCTTTTTAAGTGAAAATAATATGACAAAAGTGTGATAAAGTGGTTGACCCATTTTCCTCGCCGTCCTTCCTATATCGGAGGAATTATTTTCATTTATTATCATTGATAAATATATAATAGTATGATCATCCATTAGTCCATGGCGAAGAACAAACTGGGGCAGTGCCAGATGGAGGTTGAAATTGATACTGAATACACTGCAAGTAAATATAAGACATTACACTAAATTATTTGTTTGTTTAAACCTATTTAACATTTCAGTAAAAATTTAAGCGTTTTATAATAGATTTTGACAATAAATCGTGCTTATTGATCATTTTGAAACATGAAAGTTTATTTTTAAAGGTTTTCATAGTAGAAATTGTTTCTGTATTGATTATTTTAAGGGAAATAATTCAATTTTAAGGGTAAACACATCAAGGCCTCTTATAAAAAGTCTTTGTTTTGGGTCGGATCCAATTCAGTGCTGTGTGTTATAACAGGATTATATCTTGTATTCGAATTTCCCCGTTATTTTTCCGATCGAATTCTATTTCTATCCGAAGACCTGATTTCTTTTCGAAATCGACAAATTGCAGGTTTGTTACAGGTGAGAAAAAGCAAGATGATGTGTTTGGGCTCGTGATATGTTTAAAACGGCGAAGACCAGGAGACTATTTCTGCCCGGGCGGGCTGTGTTGAAATCTTGAAATCCGGCCAAAGATCGTTGACTTTTCTGAGCTTGTTGATCCTTTTCCGCGCTTTTGTCTCCTCCGGAATATCGGCCAACGCGATTTTTTTTTCGTTTCCCCGAGAAAATCTGGGAAAATTGCAATCCTTAACTCTGAACTTCATAACAAAGGAAAAATATAAAAAGAAGGCTGGTTCTGGTATTGAAATACAATTATTAAAACTTGCTTAAAAAGGCTTAACTTTCAACTTAAAGGTAATAAAAAATAAATAAATAAAAAACTCAAAAATCAGAAAAGTTCAGATTGTTCCTTCTTTCATATTTTTACGTGGATTTATCAACACTGAGGCTTCCGCGTTCAACCCTTAAAAATAATACATTAAAACACAGGTGAATCTCCTTATTTTTTATTTTTTAAAAATTTGACAACATAATTTCTATTTCGAAAAGAGACCAAATTACTACAAACAATCTTTGAAATATGATAAATAAAAAGGGTAAATTTTCTTGTTTTATTTTTTAAAACTGCGGACGCAACACAAATCAGTCCATGAAATACATTTCGGTCCGTCTAGTTTCGCTCTTTTCTTTATGACAGGCTCGTTTTAACGTCAATGTTGAACTGAGATCGTACGACTGGTCAGATTCTATAATTTTACTATAAAGATCAATATAATTAATAATCTATTGACTAAATTATTTCGTTCAATTAATTAATCTTTTTATGTAAGGTTTGGTTGAAATGAAAAAGCTAGTGTCACGAGCGGGATTCGAAGGCCGAAGGTCGAGGGTTCGAATCCCGCTCGTGACACTAGCTTTTTCATTTCAACAAAAACCCTTACAGAAAATGATTAATTAGTTGAAATAGTTAATAATGACTGAAAAAAATTAACGATGCTTGAAAAAGTTTAGTCTATCCTCTGAATCTCATAGAAAAAAAGCATAACAGGTGATTTCTAAAAAAAACAAAAAAAAATCTTTCTGATGGTGTCCTATTTCTTGGACTGTTTAATTTATTGTATTTAGGATGAATACTTTTTTGAACTTTACAATGCTTTTTATATTCTTTATTTATTTTTTTGTGTCTTTTTTCGGGATCTTCTAATCTCTTAGGCACTTAAGCAGTTTAAAAAAAATCGTGCTTGTAATTTATCTCTTTATATTGTATATAAAGATAATTCAAAAATCGTGAGATCCGGTCTGGTATGATGTAGGTTTCATAAAAACATTTTCTTTATCTTGCCAACGTTTCGAACTTTATTGAGATCATCTTCAGGGCTCAAAGTGTTTGTTTTCTGTGTAATTGTGCCAGTCTTGCGTGTCGTATTGAGAGTGAAGAATGGAACAATTACATAGAAAACAAACACTTTGAGCCCTGAAGATGATCTCAATAAAGATCGAAACGTTGGCACGATAAAGAAAATGGTTCGATTCATGTCATTGCCTTTTGGTTTTTTTTCTTTGATTATTACTCGATATGAGCAAGTACTGTAAAGTGAGGCCGTTATACATCCGGACGTAAACTGCTTACGAACACAGAAATTTTACTATCCAAAGTTGTGAATTTTTTTTTAAGTCTGCGAGCCAATGAACACCATTTTGGTCGGCTTACTCTTAGATTAGATAAAATCTCACAATCCAGAATCTTAAATTGTTATTTTACAATATTTCAAGTTAATTTTGAAATTTTATAAAAATGAAGTAATTACTTGATTTAATATGAAAAGAGGAAAGCCGTGGAAATTTAAAATTAGAAAAATACATTTTTACTCGATGACACTAGCAGATTGTGTTACTGTGAGACGGAACGGTTACTAATTGATTGCTCGGTTATATTTCGGTCCGCCCAGTTTCGCTGTTTCATCGTCATCAGGGGCGTTTTGGCCTAAAGCCATCACGTTCGATCACTGAAATTTCAGCGGTATCGGTTCCAACGAAATATCTTTAGTTCTAAAAGAAAAGTTTTAAGAAAAAAAATCTAACATTTTTATTTATTTCAAAATACCGAATACTAAACTTTTACCCACTGAGACAGATCGCTTTACGATGAGATGCAAGTTATGCCAATAGTCAGCCCTTGAAATAGCCTTTGGTCCGCCTAATTTCGCCTTTTTATCGACATTTTGGCGTCACGCCATCGTTTGAATCTTTAAATATGCTTTGTATATTTTGTACAATTGAACAAAAAACTGAGACAATTGTATAAATATACGTACAATATTATCGTAACTTGTATAACTGTTGTCATTTTCAACTTTACCAAACACTAGAAGTTCATGGTTTTTAAAAATTTAAATAAATTTTCCAGCAGTGTTTGCATTAGTAGAAATTTGTATATTTGGCCAGATTTGTTTTTATTTATACAATACCCTGACAAAACTTCTTGATTTTTCAAGATTTCCTTTTTTCCCCCCTCTGGGTTTTCTATATGGCAACAGCTGACGCATTTTTATTTCTACTTTTATTGTTTTTAAGTAACAGTAAAAAAATTGCCTAGTTTCAAAATTCTTCTGTTCGACTAATGAGAAGGAAAATAGTTATCTAGAAAGGACTTGTAAGTAGTTTTAATCTTTGTAATAATATCGGCTTTCAAAAGTCAAAAGAGGCTAGACATAAACAAATTGCCCTTTGGTGATTCTTTGGAATTTACTTTTTTATTACGTTTAATAAATTTTTATTAACCATATTTATTTAAAATTTAAAAATTCCTAGAAGATTTTATATTTACATTTATCCATTTTTGCATTCTTATTAAGTTTTTTAGTTTGCCGCATGTTTTATAATATTTATATTTTTCTATTATTTTTTACATAATTTTTATGGTATTGCTATTTGTTTTGAGCTTGTAGATATTGGATTGATTGAATGAATCAATATATTGCTAGTTTTATTATAGTTTACTGGTTCAAAGTTTGATCTAGGTACTTAATAAATTTCAGGCCCTTCTTTCCACGGCTAAAAAATGCAAAGAAACCACCCTAGCAAGAGTTTTTTTAATAAAAACATTTTTTTTTTAAATAATACGACGGTGAATAAACTTTATCGACAGTCGCATAAGACCAAATGACGGAAACGATGCAGAAGGCTTCAGGCTGGTTAAAAATAAGCGCCAATTATCTATTCTTTTTATTAACGACGACTAAAAACAGTTAAGGGAACAGCTGAAACTTGTTTTTTTTTTCTTTTCGTGTCGTTTCGTCATGTGTTCCGGTTAGGCATTTATTTATAAAGTGCCATACAATCAAAATCACCCTTTAAAGAAAAAAAAATTATGGAGGCATCGAGAGGAGAAAGTATGAAACTGGTTATATCTCGATTTATTATCGTTCATGTTTTATTATGATTACCACCAAATTGTTATAAAATTGAATAAAACATACATTCTTATTAATTTCACTAATTTCGAGGTCCGCTTGACCAATTAATATATTACAATTAATTAAGGTTTTTAGTTGAGATAAAAAAGTCAATGGCACAAGCGGGATTCGAACCCACGATCTTCGGNTCAAGCCGAAGATCGTGGGTTCGAATCCCGCTCGTGCCATTGACTTTTTTATCTCAACTAAAAACCTTAATTATTTGTAATTCTTATTAAATAGAATTTTTAAGAAATACTGATTAATATTAATTAATTTTTAATGGTCTTTAATCACTATTTGCCATTAGATTCCGTCCATTCAGACTTTCTTTTATTTATTATTTTTGGTTTTATTACATTTAAATTTTTCTAGACTTGCACATAAATGTTAATTATTTTTGGATATAATGTTGACCATTAAGAAGCTAAAAAAGGCACAAATGGATCAACAATCCAATAACATCTTCCCGATTATGCCATTAAAAATTGCAACAATTAAGAAATCCTTGATATTTTTTTCAAATTGTTTTAATTTTTTATAATCAAATTATCGATAGTTAAACGTATTTTTTTGTAAAGAGCATGGTAGATTTTGTGACTGTATTGTATATATTTTATTTTTGTAAAGCTAATACAATAAGATTATCCCATGTTTGTTAATTTTTTAAATCGATTTATACAATTTCAATTGTGCATAGGTACATGCATGGGGGGCCGCGGTAGCCGAATGGTTAAGGCATCAGACTCGGCTAGTAGATCCCGCGCTCGAGGGTTCGATCCCCACCGTCGCCTCTGGGATTTTTTTCTGACGCGTAAGTGGACCGGTGGCCGCAATTGAAAGAAATTGACACGGCACTCATCAATGGAAGGGGCGGTATCAGATCACAGTGACCCTGAATTTGGTCCCAACCCCCTTCAAACATGATCAGCACCCTACGCATACAATTTTAACCTAAAACACTCAATCATTTTTAAATGCTTTCTCTACACTTATAAACCCTAATTGACGGGCGTGGTATTTGATTTTTTGCCGTATTGTACTACACACATTCGCGCTTATAAATACATTTTCACGAAACAGTTAACACAGAATACCATGATCAATTTTTTTATGTATATATAATGATAAGATAACCTGCAATAAAAAGCTATATGCAGATAAAACCCAACTTCTTCCAAGATCGGAATAAAGGACTTAAAAATTCCTCCATTTTGTACTCGTACCTTATATGAAGCCAAGGAAGGACACCTTTCAATTAAGTATGACACATTTTGAAACCTTGTGCAGTTTTCAGACAGATACCGACCGAAGAATTGATCCTTTGACGCATAGTCTCTTTCCTCTTCCATAGTCCCAACCCTTTTCACAGGTCATTACAATCCTCCGATCTTTTCATCATGAGTATATTCTCGGCGAATTAGCCAAAGAAGTAACAATTAAAGGAAGTTTTAATAATAGGGCGACGACGTTTTAAAAGAGAACCTTATCTACCCTAATAATTCCTTGTTCACCTTTGCAGATGACACTGCCATCCTATCCACCCACAATGATCCAGTCCTTGTTCGTTTCCTACAGCCTACCTTCCTTGAGCTTTGGCTAAAGGAGTGGAAAATAAAAAGCAATATGTTTTCCTGTATACCTCAACCTTGTTCCACTACCAAACTGTTTTCGCTATTAGGGCTATACATCGACAAACGCCTCCCGTGGAAACCTAGACTAGTCTAGACTTAAACGACAAGTACTCATTAAACAATACAAACTTCTATCCCCTTTTTTTGGACATAAGATCCAAACTCTCCCTTAACAGAAAATACAAATCTACAATATATTACTCAAACTGACTGGACTTACTATATGGTATATGGGGATCAGCCAAAGTATCCAACTCCTATCGAATCCTATCCTTCCAGTCCAAAACCCTCTGTTGTATGACATATGCTCCTTTTTATGTGTCATACTGTACCCTTCACCACACCCACCCTGGAAGTCATGGCCCACTTTATGTGGAACCACGGCGACAGCGGGTGGTATAGTGTGGTTCGAGATTTTCTCAATCCGAGTTCCTGCATTCTATCCTGTGACCCCTCCCAACCCTTGGTTACAAGGGGGGTATCCGGGCACAAAATAAAGGTGCAGCCCAGAGGGCATGGCAACCTCTCTAAAGCACAAGCTGTACTCGTGTCGGCCTAAGGGTCAGCATGGGCGGTGGGTGCCTTAGCAGAATCACACAAGGGCCAGTGCACTAGATCCTGTCTGCAAAGACGGGGGAGGGTGTATGGCCATTTGTACCACGGGGTGACTGAAAAGTTTCAAAATCAGCCCTAGTCACTCTGGGAATGGTTTCGTGGTGGTGCGTGGTGACCCCCTGGCGGGAACTTAGACAGAGGCTGTCTTCTATTTGTGACCTTCGTGATGCTTGCGTATGGCCAACGTAAAACCCCCCGGCCTCACGGGAGACGTTGCGACCGGACGACAGCATGTAAGCGTTGAGGACGTAATGATCATGCTATAGTCCCTCGAATGCGTAAGTAAGCGAATGGAAGCGGGTAGTGAGTCGGTGTCTTAGACTCGAGTATGCTTTGCATTGTTGTGCGTATGACCGGCGTGGTACCCTTGGGGAAGCGAAGGATCGGACCACCTAGGCTAGACCTATGGCGTCCCTCGAATGCGTGCAGCAGGTGTAGGCTGAGCTCGATAAGGGACTTTACCTTAGGCGGTGCTCATCTAGGGGGTGGTTAGCAATTCCACTTTAAACTAAACTGTTGCCGGGGCGTTCCAGGAAGTTTCTACGCTGGGGGAGCCTCCATACTCAGAGAGATAGAGTGGCCTTCTCTATCTAGGGAGTACGCGTGAGAACAGGCTGATGTATTTCGGCCTGTTAGCCCTTTGCGTGCGGCATACGACCCGATGCACAATGCGGGCCCGATCATTCGGAGTGGACGAGCGGAGAGCGTGGTTGTACTGGCCCTTAGGGGCTGGGAAACCTCTACACCAATGCTGCGGCGGTAACACCATTCCGTCGTATGCAGAAGTGCGTCAGCTCTCATCTTGAAAATCAAAACGTCCGATAAGGCCGAAAAGGCTAGGTGCTGGCGTTAAAGATCCTCTTGTCTTGTTGACGATGAGTACTCGGGAACACAATGTACCCTTCACTATGACCTCAACATCCCTTATGTTTCCCACAGCATAAAGATACAACAAATTCCCTCCTTACTTAAGGACATCCCAATCCCTTAGTAATCCAATTTTCCTTTACCACGCTTCCCGATACTGCCGACTGAAATCGATAGTCTCGTGATCTTAACTTGAATGATAGCTGACAAGTATGAACCTTAGGTCAACCTACATCGCAGTGTCACTATTGTGGAGTGTGACTTTTCCGCTCAAAAAAATTCAACTCTTCTTTATCAACATTGTATTTGCTTGTTGTAGCCGGTCGATACTTTTCATTACCAAAGATTCAGAAGAAAACCATGGTTCAAGGCATTTGAAAAAATGTGAACAGTACGAGGAACAAAGACAGTGTGTTTTAGAAGCTGTAGGTGTCCCGCGTATAAAAAGAGTTCAATATAAAATCGCCAGTTTTGGAAAAATTTTCCTATGATTGTATTTATAGATTTTTTAAATCAATTAGTGCAAAATTTTATCATATTAGGGATTGTAAATCCGTTTACAGAACCAAAAAAATTGGAGTTGTATAGATATCAAAGGTCAAGTAAATTTCAATCATTTTGATACGCAAAATGGCAGAAGTTGTACTTTTTACTACAGAGGATATAGAGTAGATAGTCTTAAAGCTAGATCTACTTCTAACTTATGCTTAAATACTTACTTTTCACTGTATTTACGTACCATTCACTAATTCCTCCTCCTTTTACATATACTATATAACTAATCTCGCACTACACATTCTCGCTAATAAATACATTCAATCTCAATAAACAAAAACGAGATATCTATCTTTATTACAGTAGAAATCTTTTTATCCGGACTTGAAGGGACCGGGACTTGTCCGGATAATCCGAAAATTTGTGATTTTAATGGCATCGTGTCATAAAAATGAAAAAAAAAACACATACGAAAGTGAACACATTCATATATCAGGTTACATTGAAAATAATAGATAGTTTTTATTAATTTTTTTAAAGTCCGGACACGCTTTTCTCGAAAGATTTATAAGAAAAAATACCTAATAAAAATATACGTAATAAAAAAACACTTTACATTGGAAGCCAACATACAATCCACACGACACAACAATTTCTAGTCTTTTAAAATAGTATCCACCTTTTTAATTAATTAATTTTTTATTTAATTAATTTTTTTAACAAAAACTGCCTCTCCTTTCGATGGTGTGACTAGTGAAAGGGCGATTTGGTGGCCTTTACGAATTTCGAACGACGAATTAAAGGTCCCATTGTGGAATTAAGAATTTAAAAAAATTAATATACATACATTGAGAATTATGAAAAATTCATTAAAAAATTTTCGGTCTTTAGTGACCGTTAATTAATGATTATTTGGTGATGGTGGGGACTATACAACTATACACTACTATACCAGGCCGCATCTCACGATCTAGAAATAATTTATAAAAAATATTTTAACAATCAGGTCCGGATAATCAGGGTCTGGATAAACGGGTTTCCACTCTATGTGCTTTAAAATAGCCCTATTTTTATTCCTGATTTAAATTAAATTCAACATTCGTTGAAAATTCATTAGAAGCAATTTTTTTCTTCTTTTTTTCTTTCAACGTATGTCAAGATATTTTATTGAGATTTTTTGTGAATAAAAGTGAGAAAAATAAGGTTAGATATGTATAGAAATTGTTTAGATATATAAAAAGTTATAAAAATCAAAAAACGCTTCCAGCAAAGTAAGCCAACTTATTTTAACCAATTTGTTTTTAGTAGAACCCGTTAAAGTACTTAAGTACGAATTTTCGTAGCAATAAAATTTTTTTATGCTGAATCGGACGTGGAAATATTTTTTCCATCCACGTCGGATGTTCTGACTTAAAAATTCATAACTTTTCATAATTTAATCTAAATTCAACATTCGTTTGAACATTCATTAAAATTATTCAGCAATCGTGAGATGCGGTCTGGTGTGGTGTAGGTTTCAAAAAGACATTTTCTTTATCGTGCCAACGTTTCGATCTTTATAGAGATCATCTTCAGGGCTCAAAGTGTTTGTCTTCTGTGTAAATGTGCCATTCTTGTCGTGTCGAGAGAGCCCACCCAATGTGTAATCATCACACATTCATTAAAAGAAAAATGTGTTTTTTCTTTCAACCTATATTAAAACATTTTATTGAGTTTTTTGTGAATATAAGTGAGAAAAAAAAAGGTTGAAATGAGGAAAAACCCTTCATAAGTTTTATTTTATTTCTCTGGTTCTAATTATTTACGGAAACCTCGTTTATGCTGTTAAGTATAGTTTGTAGATTTTTAAATCCTTGTAAAGTATCCCGTGGAACGGTGGAATCGTTTCAAAGATCATCATTTTTATGAGTTTCGAATTTGATGGCGAGCAAATTTTTTTTCGCGTTCAAAAAATTTATATCTAGGAGTTTTGAGAGTTGATAAAAACTAATATAAATTTTATTTCTTGCTAAAATATTTTTTTTACATAGTATGCTTCGTCGTTTGATCACAAATTGTAAAGGTGTCTTTTTAACCTGTGCTTTTCCCTATTTTTTAACAGATCCAAAAAGTGATACTGATGTTTTTTTTGTTGTATCGAGTGATCAAGGAATCACATTCTCATTTATTAATTTATATATTTTATTTTGAATGACTTACTGACAACATTTTGTATAAGCCAGTGTAATTGAGGGTCTATGGGGTAAATATGACGCCATCGGGCCTCTTGCGCTAATAAATACTTTTACTCTTACTATACAAATAACGAGATATCTATGTATAAGATCTCTAAAAATCGCGAGTGGCAAAATGCATCTGTGCTCAAGCACAATATACCGAGTTGCATTCCAACACGCTCTCTATATGGAGCCAATGACACCCTTGAGTTAACTGCGACACATCGACTTTTCTCTGTTGTTCTGAGTTTATGTATTTATATTCTCATTTTTTTTAATGTTTATTGTTTATAAGAGCCACTGGGTCATGGGCACTTTTCTGTCGTGTTCCTGCTCGCCCATAATTTTTAATCAGCCGAGATTCAACGTGACCGTATATCACAGACAAGGCCGTTCATTTATAAAAATAATTTTATGCCTCAAATTTTCCCATATTGCCCTTTACTTTTTATCAGTTTTTCGAACTATCAGTATTTTTTGATAATGATTTTTCCTTAAAATATATTTTTAAAAACCCTAAGAAAGAAAACAAATATAAGCCAGTTAAGAAAAACATCGACCATCAAGCCCCCATTGCAGAACTTTACAAAGCCAGATTATACACAAATAAAAATCCACAATATATTATTTATATTATTATATTTGTTTTAAAAAGATTATTAGTCTAATTAATAAAAAACCAACGCCTTATTGTTAATAAATTTGGCTTTTTATTGAATAGGATATTGGTTTTTAATGGCACACGTCATTTCTTTAAAGATTAATCGAGAGAAATTTTTTTATAATATCGTTTTTTTTTAAAGTATTTTTTTCTTTTGAAATGATTACAAAAATTGTTAATAAAAATTTTAATGATCTATAATAATGTCATTATGCTGAATCGTTATCTAATAGGCATTGAAAAGAGCTCTTTCTATTTATAAACAGTGTTTAAATATCTACAAGGAAAGTTTCATCAGTTTTGAATAAAAAAAATCGGTCAATTTTTGAATTTTAAACGATTTTGTAGATTATATTTGGAATTAGGCAGAAAAAGAAGGAAACATGATCTGGGGGTTGGCTGGAAAAAAATTGCTAATTTTAAAGGCCAACGTTATGAAATCCTAGTGGGATGTATAAAACAAAACAAAAAAACCGGCAAGGTGTGAAATTTTTGGTAGAAATAAGACAAAAGTTCAAAAGTTACTCACAAATTGGTGAAGATCTCCGGAGGGATTTCTTGTACTGCGAAATTGCTGGACCCTTCAGGCCGGTATGCTCTCGGGCCAAGTTGGAAAACGAAAACGTACGAGGACCGGCGATTCCGTCCGACCCGGTGGTATATTTAGATCGTTCCAAAAGCCGAACTATTGTCTGGACGTTTGACTATTTACTGTCGACGGTCTAGACAACCGGGGCGGAATGAGGTGCCGAACGGACCGGGACAGTGGAAATGATGGAAACCGTCGTCCAATTTTAAACCGCGGACCAAAATTACCCTGGCAAACTGGCCATATTCCCTGGAGATAATTTGCATAAAACTTTCCCAACCTTGAAAACCGCTGATATTTTTCCGGGGTGAATTGTTTGTTGGCTAATGGTACAGACGTGCTTCCTATAGTTATAATCGACTCACGATACAATTCCAAATTTAATATGAAAGAAAGATATTTGTTTATTTTGCTCAGAGTTATTCTTTAAAAGCAACAGCATAATTTTATCACTGACAACTGATTTACATACTCTCAAAAACGCACTGCACGTACACACCTACGAACGTGTACAGAGTTGAACCTATCACTGGCAACTCCAAATTTTGTATTTTACAATAAGTCACCGTCGGCACTGTCACACCAGACATTCACGCTAATACATACATTCTCTCTCTCAAATACCTCCCCCAATCAATACCTCCCTCATCCCTCCTGTCCAACCATCTCCTTCTATTACACTAAAAACCTCGGTGTTACCTTCAACCAAAACCTTTCCTGGAAATCGCACATTTCTCAAATTTCCCGACGTTGTATTGGAACCCTCATTCCATTCCGCCGGACCTGGCTCTATCATCTTTGATCCCATTTCGATTACAGCTTGTCGCTTATGGTGGACTTTCAAAGGAACAAGAAGAGCTGAAAAGACTGATGCATTGTTATGTCAAATTTTCGCCACTCCCTTATTGTCTAGACTGTCGAGAGTCTCACACTTTTATTCAGATCTATCCTGGTTTTATCCCTCCATCCGCAGAAAATATTCCCTAGGCCTCCTTCCTGTACCAAACCATAAATTCTCGTCGACCTCACTATATTTCCAAGCTACTTCAGTTCAAATCCTTTCTACTTTTTTAACACCCGCTCGTTTCCCAATGACCTATATCTTCCTCGTCATGAAACCTCCTCATTTGAAAGGTCCTTCCTAGCTCGATTCACAAGCCTCTGGAATCCTCGTCTTTTGTCAATCCTCAAAACTGCCTCCCTTACCTATTTTAAATCCCTCCTGTACCAACACCTGAACTTCATCCTAACAGAGACAACATAGTTCACAATTCACTAGTTTTCGTGGTCCGCTTGACCAATTAATATCTTACAATTAATTAAGGTTTTCAGTTGAGATAAAAAAAGTCAATGGCACGAGCGGGATTCGAACCCACGACCTTCGGCTAGATACGCCGCTACTCTACCACTTGAGCTATCGTGACCTCGATCCACTCGGACACTAACTTCCCATCATCCCCACCTTTTGAACTTTGAAAAATGGCAAAAAGGAGGGAAAATTCTATCTCTCTATCTAGTCGAAGATCGTGGGTTCGAATCCCGCTCGTGACACTGACATTTTTATCTCAAGTAAAAACCATAACTAATTGATAGTTTACAATATTATTAGGTGATTTTGTTACATTTCTTGTTACTTTCTTGCCTTATCTGATTTAGTTCAACTATTTTTACTTGGTGTTACGTCAAATCTTCATTAATTTAAGTGCCAGATAGGTAAAAATCCCAGAAAAACGTATTCTCTCTCTCTCTCTCTCTCTCTCTCTCTCTCTCTCTCTCACACACACACACACACACACACACACACACACACATATTCAATAGGGGCCGCAAAACTGGCAGTACAATTCACTAATTTCGTGGTCCGCTTGACCAATTAATACTTTACAATTAATTAAGTTTTTTAGTTGAGATGAAAAAAAAAAGTAAATGGCACGAGAGGGATTCGAACCCACGACCTTCGGCTAGATAAGCCGCTGCTCTACTCCCCATCTCAACCTCACCTTTTTGAATTTTCCCTCCTTTTTGCCATTTTTCAAATGTCGTGTAATCGGTTTGGATTCTCGATGACAATTGAAATGGCGACGGAGAGCTTTAGTGTAGTGTACTTCAATTTATTTAATTAAATTCACTAATCTCGTGGTCCGCTTGACCAATTAATACTTTACAATTAATTAACATTTTTAGTTGAGATGAAAAAAAGTTAATGGCACGAGAGGGATTCGAACCCACGACCTTCGGCTAGATACGCCGCTGGGGGAGATGGGGAGTTGATGTCCGAGTGGATCAAGGTCACGATAGCTCAGGTGGTAGAGCAGCGGCGTATCTAGCCAAAGGTCGTGAGTTCGAATCCCTCTCGTGCCATTAACTTTTTTTCATCTCAACTAAAAACCTTAATTAATTGTCAGTACAATGTACAATAAAACAACCCTGTTTCCACAAAGAATCAGAACAGCTATCCTGCTAAGCACAATTCTCACACCACAAAACTAAGATAGTATATATTATATAATATATAATAAATAAAATATTATTTTTCAGATAGCAGAAATTAGTTGTGACAAAGGAATTCACATGGGCCGTAAAAAATGCAAGAAAAGGAGTTTGAACACGTCACAAAGAGTAAGGAGGTACAGGAAAAGTAAGTCAATTTTCTTGCGGTACTACGTGTACGACGACGACCCGCCTCAGACGTACTACTACGACGCTGACAACGAGATAAGACCCGAAGTGCAAAAAATGCGGATCAAGTACCTGAAAAAGCTTCGGTACTTGCAGTCCGAAGCGCCTGAGCGGCACGCCGAAAGGACGAGGATGCGCCCAGAGCCTGAGGTCCGCCTGAAACCCAAATCGCCCAAATTCCGCGTTCCTAAGCCCCCTACGGCAGAGGAAAATTTCCACGTATCGCCCGACATCGAAAAGGAGATGAAGACGATAAGCACCCCCAGGGCGTTGCACGTCGAGAACGAGACTATCGAGAACGAGTACGAAACCGTACTCGACCAGCTCATCAAGCAGAGAGAACTGCTCAGAAAATCCCAGTTGACCTTCTCAAAAAAGGGAAGCTGCACGGCCGACGCTTTCGCAAGATTTATGGAAAAATACCAGCCGAGGCCTTTTCTCAGGAGCACCGACAGCATGTACGGCAATGAAACATACATCGAATTCATAAGAGAACAGGGTTTTCTTTGATTCTCTCAATAAATATCAGGTACAAGAGATTTGTTGTGTAATTTTTCATAAATAAATTTATAAACCAATATCTTAAGGACAAAAAGAAATCACTTACTGAACATGACATATTTCCCAGACCGATTCATACCTGATGATGACAGAGTTTCTGCGTGCAGTCCTTACGCTAAGCAAATGGAACGAAAAAAATAAACTATACATTTTTATATACATGTTCTTCCTATAAATATACTATTTTAATAAAAACAAACAAAAATTCTTTCAGTACAATTCATGATTTATTGTAAATAATACGTCATTTAGTAAACAATGTGAATTTAAACAAAATTTTGATTTTATTTCCTTTTATTAGACATTTACAACTGTAGAATTAACCACAAGAAATGGATACAAAAGTATTCAGCGGAGAATTGAGATCAGATGAAAGTGTTTCGCTATTACTTATGAGGAAGCTGAGAAAAATATTGCTGGCAGTAGTATCAAGGTAATGTGATGACAATAATTTTAGCCAATTTTTATCCTTACATTTTTTTTTTAGCGTTAATTTTGGAGGAAACATATTGCAAACAGTATTGCAGTATCGTCTGAAAATGTCTAAACTACTTTCAGCGTCTTCTGCTTGAGTAGGATCGATAGGTGAATCGGAAGAACCGTACGTTACCAAGAAGTAGAGAGGAAACTAGGAAACTAACTGCAAAGGCAGGAGTGCAGTATCGTCTGCAAATGTAAACAGAAGTGTTGAGATGATTAGGGAAGTCAGGAGTGTATATTAAGTAAAGGACCAAGTGTAATATTTTTTTTTCCAAATTTAAGGATTATTACCTCGGCGGATGCCCAGGGCAATCATCGTCCTTCTTCGGGTCGCCCGTAGTCTTCCAGGATGGTCCTCTTCGGACGGCCTCTCCTCCTTCGACGCCGCCTCGGGTCCAGACGTGTATCCTCTTCCTCGCCGGCTCATGTCTGACAGGTAGCATAAAGCATCTGTCCCTGTCCATATGATCGCACGCGATAGCCAGCGAAGAACGCAGAGCGATCAGTGACATGGTGAGGACCACCCTCGGGAGGTTTGATACTCCGAGGTCTCGGAGGGCCCTCCTGGAGCCCTCCGGAATTGCCCCACGCGCCCCGATCACGATACCTTTGGCCGTAAAATACGGCTTCTGGCACCGCTCCCGGAGCAGGTCGCGAAGCACCATGTACTTCTCGCCCTTTGCCTCTGCCACACGGCTTAGCGCGTCGCCAGATTCATATGCCACTGCAAGATCTAGTACATGTACCTCATCTTGATTAGTGGCGACTATGTCCGGTCGCAGCGTTTGCCCATGTTGGTCCTTAGGGGGAGCTCGACGCTAACTGTATACCCGGAAGCGACTCCTGCTTGGATAGGATGGAGACGTGTGTACCGAGAAGTAACGGTCGGCAATAAGATTATAGGATGAGATAGTATGTTGTGCCTTTTAGTTTACATAATATCCCAGTATGGACCTGTTCGATAAGTGAGACAGTNTGTAAAGACAGGATTACAGTATCGTGTGTAAATGTAAACAGAAAAGTATTGAGATGATTAGGAACGTCAAGGGTATTAAGTAAAGGATATGACCAAGTGTAATATTTTTTCCCTGATTAAATAAAAAATTAACCTCTTTCCGGCCTCTGCCGGTTGCCTATCCTGTAGCGCGGGCACCTACTTCCCAACTTCGCCCGCACCTCAGGTCCAATCGTGTGTCCCGTAGACTATGCCAGGTTTGTCGGTTCCGGTGGGTGTTGCTCGACAGCTCCGCTCCCGATCCATATGGCCTCAGGCAATGGATAGCGAGGACCTCAAGGCAGTAAGGGAGAGGGTGGGGAGCAGCCTCGGCAGATTTTTCACGCCGAGGTCCCTGAGCGTCTTCTTGGTTCGCTCGGGGATGCATCCTCTCGTCTTCACTACTAAACCGGCCATCAAAAAATAGCTCTTCCGGTGCAGCTCAGTGAGGGTTTCCCTCAAAAGCCCGTACTTCCGCGCCTTGAGCGACTCCTGCTTGGTGTGTACCAAGAGGTAACGGTCGTAACGTAAGTAAGACTCGGATTAGATTTGGTTGGTGGGAAGAGAGTCTTTTAGTTCAGTTTAGTTCAGCTGATCGAATATTTCAGCAGTTTTGAGAAAGAACGCTTGGTAGTTCTTTTCAAAGTAGAAGGACTCAAACATTAGATTTCTGGAGTGCCATGATTCATATGTGCTTTGTCCTATATATTTAATATCACAATCATTACAATTAAGTTGGTAACCCCCGCTTTTTGCGCTTTTTGGCAAATCACATTGGAACTTCGCATTGGCGGGGGTATCGGCGGGTTCAGTTTTGCAATTCATGTCGAGAGGCGTGGTTGTAGAACTCCTTCAACCTGATGATGAGATAATGGCTCGAAATCCGGTCGTTGCAAATTAACTTACTGTGAGTAGGAACTACCTTTTAAAAAAGGATTGATCACAGTACAAATGGCATCTCGGTAACTTAAAAACATACTTTTAAGAATCGCTGGAGTATAGTGAGGTTTCAGCTATCACGCCATGAAGAACATTCATGGAGCTGTTATTTTATTCATTCTGTCCCGTCTGTAGAGAAGCTTTGAACAACTTATATAACAAGAAAGAAAAATCAATGTGTCCACAGAATGATGACCTTGCAGACAACCTTCCATCTTAATCGTATAAGGCAGATGTACTCTTGGAAACATCTTTCCTATACATCTAAAATGTAGGCAACTCCATTCTCTCTTCGTTTTGAAACATGAATCCATTATGGTAAAAAATGACAATTGTGCGATTTCCCACCAGATGTGTGAGTATCGATTACTGGTCTCCCCGTGCTAGATTGCCAATGGTTGCTGAAAACAAGAGAATGAGCATTACTGGGAGTTGTGTGGCTCTAAAAAGGGGCGTGATCATGCTCCTGAGAACAAATTACGCGCTGGGAGTAACTTACTGGAAGAACGCGCCACACAACACCATTGGTCTGCAGCTTTGATTGGCTCGCCCATTGAGGAGCTATGTAGCGGCCACTTGTCACTACACGTTACTGCCAGATGCCACTACCACTTATGGCATTTTCTCGCCCTCCACTCTGCAGCCAATCAGAGTAAAGCTCTTCCCTATATAAACAGGGGCACTGCTCCTCTGTAATAAGACTCGTCAGCCCGACGAGGTCTCAGTCATCACTAATAATCAACGACACCAGCCCGACGAGCTAACACTAATGGAATGCCGTCGACGACAGCAAGAGAACTCGCAGCATTAGCCCGATCTCCCCTTCTAATCAGCCGACTTGGCCATTAACGCCAACTGCTGCCCCTCGGCTAATTGCTGCAGTACCTTCGGCCTCTGTGGAGTCTACCGACTCAAGACCCCACCCAACGGAGACAAAGGCAACCAACACAACCAACAGCACCACTTGAACGGTCTCGAGCTCATACCATCGTCACGGCATCTCTACACAACACCGGCCTTGTCAGGGCCACGAAACTCCCAGTCACTAAAAGCACTACGCCTTAAATATCAATATAGATGGTAGCAAATATTAAGGAAAAGTTGGCTGATTCGGTAATTGAATAGAAAACTTGACAGGAAAAATTCTTCTAAGGACGTTCAAACTAGTAGCTGAACAGCTGTGGCAGCAGAATGCCTTATCTGAGGTTAAGGCCATCGCAGTACTAGAATTCTTTCATAGCAAGGATCAATATGCATCATGACAGGCGGCCGCATCACTCTTAACATGTTGAGGAATGGAAAATGTCACATGCTTTTTACAAAAGACCTAAGCATCGTCCGATCTTTTATCAGCGACTTGTATAAATCTTTGGCCGTCGTATTTACAAAAACGAGACAAATTGTCTATTTTTAAGCAACTGTAAGAAAAGTCCGTATAAAAATGTTTACAATAAAATAAGATTTACAAAGAAAGAAAAATATAGTTTTTCTTCGTACAAGTGAAAGTAGACCATGAGAATCAATTTTCAATCAAAATTGAACTATGTTTTACCAAGATTGTCATAGAAAATCTAGAACTGTAAACATTGTAAAAAGCGTTATCACCACTTGACAAAATGGCGATAAAAAGTGTACCGATAACGTCCTTTTTTAGCTTGATACAACGAATCGCAATGTTAAATATGCTGGGACCTTCGACCGGCCCGTGACCGACGTTAACACGGGTCTGTCGACTTTTGTTAAAGGTTTAGCGAATGACGTTTACCATCCCCACCGCGACATTGCCTTTTCCTATCGTTCAGTGTACAATCCTTGCTCATATTAGTTGCCGGCGCGTGCTCTCGTCGTACCACGCTTCGCACCTAGACAGAAGGTATTTACTATTTTTTTATGTTTACTAGAACAAATTTTCCATTATGTTCACAACTGCTCTTTTTGACAACAGAGTCTTTCTCTTTCATAAAATAAAATAATTTTTTTTCAAAATTTGACATCCAATAAAAAACTACACATTTCAATTTGATACAAAAATACTTTTTTAACGCCAAACACAGTTTACTATTACAAATGGATTTTTTTTATGCTTTCGTATAGGCAAATATGAATTTTCGATCAAACGAGTTTTGTTATTAGGATGACACCCACGTTGAACTTCAAGTTCGTGTCCTATAAAAAAAAAATAATTAAGTGTTTTTTAAATTGATTTGAGCTATTTATTGAATAAATTATACATAATTTTTCACGACTGGCTTGGCAAGAGTATGTTAAAATATTTTTGTAGCAAGAAACAGTTACAGAATTTTTTTCAACATAAAAACCCCCGAATATAATTTTTTTGGAAAATCAACAAAATTTATTTACTTACGATTTTTTTCCACCTTCACAAATACCGTCCGATTAATTTCGAAAATGGCCAAATTGAAATTTGAATTTCGACGGGAAATTTTAGAGGGGGTTTTCAACCCCTATAACCTACCCGTTTTGGTATATAAATCAAAATCGTAAATATAAAATATAGCGTAGAGAAATTTTTTAAAAATGTATTCTTATTTTTTAACTCAAAAACGTTCAGCTGTCCACTGTTGGAATACTACAAACATTGTATAAAATTCATATTTATGAATACATCCTGACATCGGAGAAAAAATATCCCTGCCTGTTTTCCTTCCAAATTTTACCAAAAAACATTCCTAATTTTTGTTTTTGAAAAAATTCACGTTCAGAAGATTTTAAGGGATAATT